GGAAGGAAGTAGGATTCTTGATAGGGAGAGTTTTCCTTCTAATTTTCTCCCAGTTTCATTTTCCTCTTAAATCCTAGCAGCACGGATCATGACAAGTCTAAAAGGACTAGGAATGATGCTCCCCCCAGGTTTTTCTCATTGCCCTACACAATGATACTTCCAAAAGTTCACAGAAAATGGAATTTTAAAAAACCATGTGCAACATTTTAATTTAAAAGTTCACATAAAGTGCATTTTATAAAAATCCAGGCATGGATTTCATTTTGGGTGGGTGGGGGGGGAGGGACTTAGGGCAGAGGAGGCCTCAAAAGCAGCTATCATCAGTTTCAGTTTGAATGAAGTTTTTGCAGATTGCGTTTCTACTAGTAGGGATGTAGTTAAAAGGTGTAACTGTGAGTGTCTTTAGGCCCCAAGTTGCAGAGGAAGGCAAAAGTCATAGAAATTTGCATCCTTCTTTCTTCTTTCCTACGTCTCTCACTCCACTGTGTCATTGCCTAGCCCTGGGGTCCTTAGAGTCCTTGAGAAAGGTATTTTCTTCCTCATTTTGCCCCTTTCTAATTTCATTAATAAAGGAACATTCTTTTCCCTCTTTGTAAATAAGTATCAATGCAATGTTAATACAATGCAATTTATTACAAAGTTAAATTGTAAATTTGCACAGGGAAAAATAATGTCGTTTGTTACTTGATGGGACAAAAAACCAATTCTGATGATTAAAATTACACAACTGATTATAAAATAAATCTTATTTTTATTTTTAAGACAAAAATCTTAGCTGCATTTTGAGATTTTGATTCTTACTTTACAAAGTAAGATGATATTTTCCTTCAACAAGCCAGGGATGACTTGGTTCCCTTATACTTTAATTAATGTTGTTAATTCAGAGAGATGAAGAAACAGTGTGGCTTTGCAATTTTCAGTCTACAAATGCATTTAATCTGTGTATTTGGAAGGAGTGGTGGATAATTCACTAGTCCATGGGGAAGATAGTACTAGTGCTAAGGGATGTTACTGATAAAAAAAAAATTACAGCACTGTGGAGCTGAAACAGTCCCCAGCCTTGCAGAAAATCATTTTCTGCCATTCCCTTGAGAGTAGAAGCTGCCAGAGTAGAGGCTGAGTCTCTTGCAGCATGGGACTTATAGAATGCACAGTCCGTGGTCCAGAGTGGGGAGCAAGGACAGGGTGGAATTCCTGTTCTCCCGGAATCAGACTTTGAATCCAAGGTTGTGATTGGATCTCAGGAAGGCAGCGATTCTTTGAGACTGTGCTTTAAGTGTGTGCATTTACAGGATGCATTTAGGGCAGTGGATGTGCTCTTTACGGTGTTGTTACAGTGGATGATGTCACCACACATTTGTCAAAACCCACAGAATGTACAATACCAATAAACACACGAGACATGTGAATATAATAAATACAAAAATGCGAATGAATATTCACCTATTAGAGGAGAAGAGAGTAAATTTGATAATATTTGAACTTGGGAAAAGTGTATGGGAATCTATGTTCTTGTACAAAGTAAATTATGATCTTTTGGCAATAATGTGCCAGTGTAAATTCATGGATTACAAAACAAAACAAGAAAGTACCAGTGTGGTACCAGATGTTGATAGCTGGGGAGAGGCTGTGCACTTGTTCAATTTTGCCTTGGAGTGAAAACTTGCTAAAAATGTTCCTTTTGTTTTTTGCATATGTGCATTTTAGATGTATTTTCCTACAGGGAAATGTATACTTTTTTTTACTAATAAAATAATTGCTGCATAATTATACATATAAATAAATATATACATACATAATGCATATTCCAAAATCTATCAGATAACCGAAATATGTCTGCTTGTAGCATCCAACCATAAAATTGGCAGCATAAAGGAAAGAAAATGATATTTTAGGGGATAGTCCTTGATGCACTCTTCTTATGAAGTTATATCATGGCAACTAAGTTCAAAAGCTTTTTCCTCAACTCTGTTCTTCTCTCCCTCTCCCAATCTTACTTGAGAGGCACAAATGAGAGAGACAGAGAGCGAGAAGTCAGTGATACAGAGACCTCCATAAGTGAATATTCTATTTAGTTTTAGTTACACTACTTTGCGTTTTTATAATTATTATATTCAGATGTTTCATGTTTATCGGCCGGTGGAGTTTCCACTTCAGCGTTTTTCCTTTATACATCCTTTGCCAGCTCCTCCTTGGTGTTGTTTATCTTTCTTATTTACAAGAACTATTTACATATTATTTTGACTAATATTTTGGCTCTTATGTTGTAAATGTTTTCTTTTAGCTTCATATATTTAGCTTTGTTTATGATGTCTTGATTTATCTTACATTTCGATGCTATCTTATTTACTCAATAATTTTTGGTTTAACAAGTCAATCCGCAAGTTCATAAATATTGTAAATATGTTTTCCTGTATTTTTCATCAGATAACCTTATAATTTAAGTTTTTAATTCATCTGAGACTTGCTTTCAGGAAAGGTAAGGATCTCCATTTTTGTCTGCGAAGGAATGACCAGTTTTCCTCACGTGACCTCCAGATTGGCCTGTTCTTCTCTACCAATTATTATCCACCACCATCAGAAGTCCTTTATGTACTTGCATATTACCCATGTATTTTCCCAGAATGTGTTTGTCTCATCCACCACTGAATTTTCAAGGCTTAGACCAAGCTTGCAATACAGTAGGGAATCAACTAATGTTGGAAGAATGAATGCACCAGCTTGTGTTCTTGAGGCAACCTCAGCTTGCTTGTAAGGCAGCAGTCTCAACACCATTTAAATTGGTATTTCCTTGCCCAATTTTTCTACTATGTTTTTGGAAGAATAATTTTTTTCATCCTTCTATGTCTTCTATATTTCTAGGAAGTGTATATTGACTGAATCAGCAAATGAATGGATGAAAATGATGTTGAGATATCATTTTTATTTATTTTTCTTTTATCTTTTTTTGATACAATTCCATAGGCTCTCGGATTTCCCTTTCCTCCTCCTAGATTTGCTACCCTCCCACTGTTTTTCCATATATTTGTGCAATAGTATAGTCCCTCAATAAGCAGTCATAGATCATCATTCTGATACTTACGTGTATCCTGACATTGCATGTATGGACAATGGCAGAGTCCAGCATCCTATTGTCAACATATATCTAACAGTTTCATTGAGAGTCCATCCTTGATTTGGAAGTAGAAATGCATATTGCATTGTATCTTCACATCTGGATACGACAGTCTCTATTATACAGTTACTATAAAAATGTTCACTTTAGACAACCACAAAACAGTAGCCTATGTGCCATATTCTTCAACTGGCAGTCTCACGGTATTGGACAAGCCACCCCAAACACACTTGCTTAAGACAAAAATGATAGTTATTTGTCTCAGATTTTTGATGAGGTGTTTCTTCTGTTGTTTCCTGGTCTTAATCATATAACTTATTTCAACTGGAAGGCCAGCTAGATTTCACTGGCATTTGAGACCTTGATGCTGACTGCTAACTGGGACTCTTGGAGTGCCTCAATTTCTTTCTCTACAGCAGTTCATCCCTGAATTTCCCTTATCATGGCACTGTCACCCTAATCTTTCCAATTATATCTTCCAAGTTACCACAGGTGGCCATTTTGCCAACATGAGCAACCTCTTCTCTTGTTCCTAATAGTGGTTTTGTTTTCTGATCTTCAAGTGATGGTCTCCTTGCTGCCATCCTATTCTCTGTCCATCTCCCAATGCCAAAGCCAAACCCCTAGATTTTAGTAATATTTTTAAACAATATCTCCCTTTCAGGTGCTGAGTTATATATTAATTATAATTAATTTGCAATACGTGCTTCAAAGCTTGAAGCCTTAAAATAGTAATAATTCATTAACTCTCATGTGTCTTTGTGTCAGCTGAGTATTCTGCTGCTGCACTGACTCAGGTGGATCATTTATGTACAAGGCCAACCAGGGTGGGCAGGACCAAGATGGGTTCACTTCTGTCTGGAATCACGGTGTGGCTGTTCACCGGGAAAACTGGTATAACCACACTTCATCTCCCTGAGGTTGTTAAATTTTGTTTATCTACAAACAATGTATTATTCTTAGGTAGGGTCAGATGTCTTAGGTAGGGCAGTGGAAGCTGCCAGACCTTTAAAAGTCTGACTCAGGAATCCTATGGCCTCATGTCCATCACATTCAGTCAGTGATATCATCCAGCCAGCTCAGGTTCAAGGGCTGGGAAAGTATGCAGACGTCAAGGGCTGACCCGGAGTGACAAACTAACATTGCAAAACAAGTGTGGGAAGGAGAGAGTTGTGGTTACCTTTGCAACAATGTGTGCCAATCACAGGCACAACATTTCAGCAGATCCAGTGAAGTATTTGAAAACAGATGACAAATCAGCCAGTTACAGTGAAAGCATAAGTGAAAGGCTTCTTGGCTGTTTTGACTAAAGTGGATAATGGGAAAAAAGAAAAAAAAAAGCCTTTCGCCTTCAATTAAGAAAATTAAGGAAATAAAGAATACTTTACATGTTGGTTCTAATGGAAGATAAATTAATTAAGGAAGAGATTTGGGAGGATGATTGAGAGATGGTCGGTTTCTATGGAGACATATGGACCTTCATTGCTTAAGAGATATAATATGCATATGTATGTATATATGTGTATAATGTATACTATATACAATATAATACATATAGCATATACATTTTATACAGTATATGTACTATATAACACATATACGACATGCACATTATTCACAATACAACACACATATAATATTACATATATATATTATTACATATGTACATATATAAATATAGATATTAAAAACAGCCCCACTACTTATACTGCTAGTGTCTTAACTAATCTTCATATATGGTTCAGACAAGATTGATTCTAAAAGTTGCTGCTTATTATCTATTCTTTGTTTACTTATTTAGTTAGGTTGTTTTTGCTTATTCATCCATTCATATGCTCACTGAATCAGTTAACATATACTAAGTGTCCTGCAAATACTAAATACCGGAAGTGTGCTGGACATGGCAGAGCCAATGGAAGGTCTCCTGGAGCTTGTATTTCTTTTTCCTTCGGAACGTATTTCCAGTCGTCAGACTAAATCCAGGACTTCTGATGTGCCTGAAACAATGATGGGTAGAAAATCTCACTGCCCCATCCTATAACATTAGATTACATCAACATGCAACAAAATGTGTTCTCAGCCATCAACAACTGACTCGGGAGAAAATGTCAGTAAGGATGTAGTCTTTGTATAGGAGAAGTTTATGATGAAAAAGCACTTGTCATTGAGTTTTCTCTTCATCTTCTAAGAGTCCCCTCAAGCAGAGCCAAGGCTACTGAATTAGAGCAGCATCATTCCAAAATCTGCAACGACAAACTGCACAAAGTCTGAGGCGCTGCAAATGACACGAATCTCCTGTGACACACAGTATCTGAACAAGTAAATATTGATAACCAGGAAGTGGGAATCCAAGCTACCAGTAATTATATGTCTTATCGCAATAAAAACAGTTTCTGAAACTATTCGTGTGTCCTCCAAATAAGGAATAGTTACAGCGTCATTCAATAAACACAAAGTAAAATAAACATTTTGTCCCTCTCTCCAGCAGTATCCAAGACCTCAACTTTGGTGCCATCCATCCGTTCCTTCCTCCTCTCTGCTGGCTACCCTAAGTTTGCCTTCATTTTGTCTCTACAGATGACACGCTGGGATATACTGTGAGCATCTCAACTCACGCAGTTTCTTGCATTTCCTTCTGTTCTGCTTCTTCCCATTCCCTTTCCCCTTTTCATCAGAGTGATCTTAAATGAAGATGTCCTTTAACCATGCAGAATTTCTGATATGTTCCCCTTGACGGCAGTTGGATTTTCCTAACTAGATTTGGGAAGGAATTATTTCATTCTCAAGGGTTTAAGGACTTGGATATGAACCAGGAAGAGTGTGAGAAAGAGAGCTTGCATATCTTTACAAAGAGGTTCATTTGATATTTATCCATTATGAAATATTTCTCTTTTAAAAAATATTTATTTATTTTTATTGTTAAAGCAGATTTATAGGGAGAAGGAGAGACAGAGAGAAAGATCTTCCATCCACTGCTTTACTCCCCAAGTGGCCTCAATGGCTGAAGCTGAACCAAAGGCAGGAGCTTCTTCCAGGTGTCCCACGTGGGTGCAGCTTTCCAGGGCTTTGGGTTGACCTTGACTGCTTCCCCAGGCCACAAGCAGGGAGTTGGAAGGGAAGTGGAGCAGCTGTGATATGAACCAGCACCCATATGGGATCCCGGTGCTTGCAAGGTGAGGATTTACCCACTGAGCCATTGTGTCAGGTTGCATTATGAAATATTTTAATCATGCAAAACTACAGTAAGATCAACCAACTCCCTTATAGTTGTTATTCACTAAAAAGGGGAGTACTATAGATGTTATGAAAACTCCCTACTTATGTAACCTTTTTAAGATTCTTTTTTATTTTCAAGATTTATTGATTTTACAAGAAAGAAATGGAAAGTCAGAGAGAAGTTGCTCTTCCATCCTCCAGATCATTCCCCAAATGGTTGCAACAGCCAGAGCTAAGTCTGTCCAAAGTCGGGAGCCAGGAACTTCTGGGTCTCTCACATGGGTGCAGGGCCCAAGGACTTTCCCAGGTCATAAGCAGGGAGCTGGATCAGAAGTGGGGCAACTGGGATTGGAACCAGTGCCCATATGGGATGCTCGCACTGCAAATGGAGGATTAGTGTGTTACACCACTGTCACATTTTGCCGATCTATTTACTTTGTACAGACATGTTCCATCACTTTTCCCAAGTTCGAATATTATCAAATTTACTCTCTTCTCCTCTAATAGGTGAATATTCATTCGCATTTTTGTATTTATTATATTCACATGTCTCGTGTGTTTATTGGTATTGTACGTTCTGTGGGTTTTGACAAACGTGTGGTGACATCATCCACTGTAACAACACCGTAAAGAACACATCCACTGTAAACACCGTGAACACACCACTGCCCTAAACATCCTGTAAACGCACACACTTAAAGCACAGTCTCAAAGAATCGCTGCCTTCCTGAGATCCAATCACAACCTTGGATTCAAAGTCTGATCAGCCTTGGATTCAAAGTCTGATTCCGGGAGAACAGGAATTCCACCCTGTCCTTGCTCCCCACTCTGGACCGTGGACTGTGTGTTCTATAAGTCCCATGCTGCAAGAGACTCAGCCTCTACTCTGGCAGCTTCTACTCTCAAGGGAATGGCAGAAAATGAAACCATTATGTTTAGTGATATAAGCCAGTGTCAAAAAGACAGATATCACATATTTTCGGTTACATGGCAACTAATGTAGAACAAACAAAATAAGGCAGGAATGAAATGAGCACTTTAGGATAGGACTGTCATTTTTAGCCCATGTTCATACTCTAGTGGAAATGTGGTTTTGGGGTCTTTTTATTTTTTTACTTGTTGAATATTATTACTGCTAACATAGAGTGAATTAAACTATCAGAACATTTGTTTTCAGACTCTGCTTAAGGAGTCAATGAGCAAAACTGTTTAAAGTGGATGTTTGACATACTGGTAAGTTGCCCACTTAGGACCTATTAGAGTACCTGGTTCAAGCCCTATCTTGGCTTCTGTTCTAGCTTTCTGTTAATACAGTCCCTAGAAGGCAGCAGTAATGGCTCAGGAAATTGGATTCCTGCTACCCACGTGGGAGACCTGGACTGAGTGCCCAACTCTCAAGGCACAGCCTAGCTCAGCTCTGGCTCTCAAGATTATTTGAGGAATGAACCAGTCAGAGGTCTCTCTGTCTTGATCTGTAATTGTATCTCTCACTTTCTCTTTAAAGAAATACTTTTTAAAAGGATTTTATGTATTTTTATTGGAATAGCAGATTTTACAGAGAGGAAAGACAGAGAATAAGATCTTCTCTCCATTGGTTCACTTCCCAAATGGCTGCAATACCCAAGGCTGAGCTGAACCAAAGCCAGGAGCCAGGAGCCAGGAGCCAGGAGCTTCTTCCTGGTCTTCCACACAGGTGCAGGGTTCCAAGGCTTTGGACCATCCTCTGCTGCTTTTTCAGGCCGTAACCAGCAAGCTGGATTGGAAGTCGAGCGGCTGAAACACAAACTGGCCCCCATATGGAATCCTGATGAGGAAGAGGTTTAGTCAGTTGAGTCAATGTGCTGGCCTCCAAATAAATACTTTTAAAGAGGAAAAAATAATCAAGTGAGCTTATAGTTTCAAGGTAATTATTACATTAAATCACAGTTTACCTCTATGTTGTGTCTTTTGACACAAATCTTTTAATCTCATACAAGCCAGATGCTAATTTAGTTTTTATACAAAGGATAAATTGTAAATATTTTGGCTCTGTCGGCCATGAAATCATGTGTTTTAACTGCTTACCTCTGCAGTTATATGGAGAAAGCAACTTTAGACGTCCAAAGACAAATGAGTGTGTCTGTGGGCCAAGAAAAACTTCAGTTAAGAACTCTGAAGTTTGGGCCCGGTGGTGTGGCCTAGCGGCTAAAGTCCTCGCCTTGAACACGCCAGGATCCCATATGGGTGCCGGTTCTAATCCCGGCAGCTCCACTTCCCATCCAGCTCCCTGCTTGTGGCCTGAGAAAGCAGTCGAGGATGGCCCAAGGCTTTGGGACCCTGCACCCGTGTGGGATACCCAGAAGAGGTTCCTGGATCCTGGCTTCGGATCAGCATAGCATTGGCCGCTGCGCTCACTTGGGGAGTGAATCATTGGACGGAAGATCTTTCTCTCTGTCTCTCCTCCTCTCTGTATATCTGACTTTCCAATAAATAAATAAATCTTTAAAAAAAAAAAAAACTCTGAAGTTTGAATTTTATGTAATTTTCATGTTTCATGAGACATTCTGTTTTCCCCAACCATGTGAAAATGCAAAACCATTCTAAGCTGCAAATAGTGTTTTTATAAAAATTCACTTCCCATTAACTTTATAAATTGTTTTTTTATTTATTTAAATTATAATAAGAAAGAGGGAGGAAAGAGGTTGATCTCCCATTTGCACATTCCCTCGCCAAATACCTGCAACAGCTGGGGACTGTTGTGGGCTGGAAACTCAACCCAGGTCTCCCGTGTGGGTGGCAGGCACACAGCTGCTTGCGCCATTACCAGCTGCTGTCCAGGGAGCAGGAGAGCAGCAGCTGAGACCAGGAGGGAAGCTGAAACTCGAATCCAGGCACTCCAGTATGGGATGAAGCATTCCAAGGGACAGCTTAACTGTCAGACCAAATGCCTTACCGCCCTGTGAACCACGTAAAGACCACTTCCCATTCTGAAAGGCCCTTGATGCTCAGGACTGGACGTCACATAGGAAAAAAGAAGGAGAAAAGGCTATTTTTATCATGATTTGGGGCGTAAGAAAAATGAGTGACTAAGCTGGAAAAATTGATTAGTGTTTTTCAGTGTGCTGTTTGAACTGCTTTGCAGGTACTTCTAAAACCATTTTTAAAATGACAGTTTCGCTTTTTTAAGCCCCTTTCACACTTGTAAACCCCTTGAACAAGACTAGAGGAGATCCCTCTGAGTATCTGGATTCTTGAGAGATCTGCTGTTAGCTGATCAGTACATTCACATGGTGGTTCTCCAGTGTAGGATAAGAACCCAAACAATGCAGAGTCAGGGGAACTGGATTTGCACCGGGCTAAACATGTGTTCTCCTATGCCATTTCTTCAGTTAGAGCATGTCAAATACGGAATTTGGCAGAGCTAAGCATATGAAACAATAGACAGTTTAATTGAACCACTGTTTCTTGTGGAACTATGTGTGTCAGGCAATTGCAGAAGACAAGTTTAAATGAATATATAGAGGAAGATATATCAGAGGAATCCAGAATGAAGACAAATGTACCTGAGAGCTGAACTGTGCTGTGGATGTTTGCCGGAGTTTGATGAATGGCACTCCAGGTTAAAAAAGGCAGAGCTGAGAAAAGGAAAATGCAGAGGAATATCTGAGGTCTGAAGCTGTCATCTCTTATTTTTTTTTTTTTGAAGATCAGAGGAAATGAGTCCTCAGCTACTGAGGACAAATAGTTTGAGTTGAATACTGAGAAAAAATCTTGACTTTACACCATGGCTTCTGGATAGGCACTGCTATGGGAAACTGCAGGATTTCCTATTCCAGAGATAGAAGAAACTCTGACTTAAAACAGGTGCCCCAATATTAGGGAGCTTTTCAACTCATTATTATACAAATATGTATTTGGTGTGCATGATTCTTATACACACACATATACATAATGTATGTTCAGGGAGATATGAATATTACACACACAAATTTTAATTTATCTTCAATTTCCTTCTGTGTATGAATGTCAACAATCCAGCTCTGACTGGTTTATTCCCCAGTATCTCCAGTTTCCTGTCAGAGCCTTCCTCACTCCTCCAATGGCTGCAGCAGCCAGGGTTGGGCCAGGCTGAAGCCAGGAGCCAGGAGCTTCCTCTGGGTCTCCCACATGGATGCAGGGGCACGAGAACTTGAGGCTATGCTTTCCTGCTTTTACAGGAACATCAACAGGAAACTGGATCAGAACTAGAAAAGTTGGAACTCATATCAGTGCTCATTTGGGGTGTCAGTGCTGCAGGCCGTAGGTTAAGTTCCAATGCTGCAACACTGGTCCCAAATAAGTAATTATTTCTTTTGTTTTTTATATTAGAGAGACTTTATTAACCAAGCTTGGTGATGGCAGTGGACACTAAAAATTAGCAAATGACGTCAGCATGGCAATTCAGTGGGAATCAAAACCCTTAGATGAACAAATGGTCATTACTGTGAAACCCATCTGATAAACTGAAGGTCTATGTGCCAGTTTCCCCAACAACAGAAGTTATCCTAAGAGACATGCAGTGAGCAACCTGGACACATTTATAAAGCTGCAAGCATGCACCTGTTCCTGGCTCCTCTGCCCACATACCATTTCTGCGAGGCCGCACTTCTTCCAAACTCTAGAAAGTACGCAAATTAGAAATACGAAGCATCTTAGCATTTGCATCTTTACTGACTCATCCAAGCAGGGAACAGAGGGTGAGGAATGCAGACATACAGGGGCCAAGTTCAGGGGCTACGTGTCCTCAGAGTCTGTCTGTGTGAAACCAGAGAATAAGCAGGTACTGTGGAGGCCAAGAGTCGGAGTGCAAGAGCAATGGAAGCATGCAACCAAGAGCTAAGTCTATTTTTTTTCAAATGCCCTTGGGACAAGAGTATAGTTAAATAGGAAAGATAAGTTTTAATGGCCTATAGTATGGTAGGATAATTATAGTTGACGATTGACTGGCTGTTTCAAAGAGCTAGAAGAGGATTTTGAGCATTCCCAAACAGAAAGAAATGATATTTGATGTGACAGACATGCCAGTTACCCTGAAGTGATGGTACATGTTGTATTCTGTACTGAAACGTCATGCTGTGTCCCACAAATACGTACAATTACTATGTGAGATTTTAAAATGCAGATTTAAAAAACTTTGCTCTTGAAACCACTACTACTTACCTTCATCTTTCTCCCTGTCTGTTGGCTATCTTACTCTTCACAGCCAAAAATCACTATTTTGGATTTTGCTTTCAAAAACAGCCACCATGTCAGCAGGTGATCATCTTCATATTCTTCAATGTTGTCATTCCTTGACAGCATGGAGTAAAGATGCCCTTTTCCCCTCTTTCACCATCTTATCTCTAAATATCTACCACAAGGATCGTGTAGACTGAGTTGAAAGCATGAGTAATCAGTAAAACAAACAGTTTCTGGTTCACCACCTCATCAGCAATCAAATGTGTCTGAAGCTCACTTCTCCTTGAGCTGGGAGATTTGGTGAGAGGGAAAGAGGAGACACAGAGCAGCGGGGCAAATTCTCATGAAAGAAATATTCTTCTGACAAAATATCTCTATTGTCTGCCCGAGTAGCAAATATAAAATTATTTACTTATAGACGAAATTATTTCTTTGTGGAGACATGCTAAAAATATTTGAAAACCACTTACAGAAAACAGCTTAGGAAAAGATAGAGAGATTGTATTATTATTCAATGCTTTCAATTACTTCTGTAGGAACATAAAAGACAGCAGGAAGGAAAACCTAGAGATACACTCAAAGTGACACAGCTCGGCTTAGATTCTTAGATTTGGTCTGGACTTCTCCAACAAATAAAACTCGAGACATTTTGGAGGGATTTATCATTACTTTTTACCATAATCTCCTTTTAATCTAGAATATACTCATGTGACCAAAGTATACCGTAAGAATAAAAATGTGAACCCTTGAGATTTACTATAAAAAGGCTGAAATAAGGAACTTCCTGGGGGAAATTATTTCCAATTTTTTTATCTACTGCCCAAATGTATAAATAATCAAGAAAATTCTAGCAGGAAGTGGAAGCCTTAAACCATTACTGCGGTTTTACACATTTTTAATTTAAGACAATAAATCATGCATTTGTGTCATTTTAATTAAAGTTTTACATTTTCATCTTCTTTCCTGTGCATCAAAAAAGGAAGGTCTAACTAAAATGCTATTACTACTTGCTCAAATCTCCCAAGTGCTAAAATTTAAATGAAAGCATATGATCTTTTTCCTAGGTCAACTAGAGAAGGTCTAATCTAAAAGCACACATCTTGGACATTTTTTTAGTTCAAAGGAAGCAAAAGAATGATCAGTATTGAGGGAAGATACATACAGAAAAGCTTTCGTAAATCTCTACAGGAGCCACTTGTACTTTTGTAAATTAGCTTCTCTCTCTTTTCCTATCTGTCTCAATAACTTCACACTCACAAAGCAAACTCAATTTGCCTTTCAGGTTTTTTTTTTTTTTTTTGAAGACAACCACCACAAAAGTGCATTCTGATATTGAAAATTTTGGATGGTATCAAAAATGAATCTCATAGAACACTGCCACTTACCGGCTGTGGATGAATTCTCACTTTCCGAAAATTTATTTGGTAAGTTGTCAATAAAGACAAGCTATAATCTGGAAATAAATGAGAAGAAAACTTAGAGGGTAAGTCCAACGGAGAATCAAGAAAATGTTTTTTGTAACTTCTAAGTATCGGACACACATTAGAACTCTACAAGTTTAAACATTGCTTGGACCTTGGATTCATTGAGCCTCATGGTCTTCATTTTTTACAGATGAGGACTGCAGGACTCTCAGGAGCTTTGCGACTTGCCCAAGGCCATGAGGCTAGATAATTAACAGAGCTGGGAGTGGAAACTGATTCCTGCTCTCAGGTTAATTCCAATATTATGATGGCAGGTACTAAAGTATGAAATCATGTTTCTTATGGTTTAATATTATACCTATTAAAAGCTTAGGTTATGGCTCTGCAGGAGTTTTCCTTTTCATTATTCCTCCAGTGATGGTGGCGGGGGTGGGGGGGAATCTATGTCAGGATTAGTCATTGAAGATGGATTGAGAACAAATTGTACCAAGTTGTTCTCAGTAGAACTATAACTAGATGACACCATAAAATGATATATTGCCCCCACTTTATGCATTTATGAAAAAAACATTTCATTATAGAGACTTTCATTTGAGAACATCAGCTAAGAGTCAGCAAGAACAATAGTTTGGGTGGGGCCGGGAGCCTTCAACTATACCTAAAGTAAATCCTTTGTGCATAATAACCTTCCTGGCAGACTTGGATCCTTGCAGTTTTCGCTTGCTGTTTACCGTGGTAGACTATGACAGTGAAAATACGAATGCTTGAAATTCCACAAAGTACAATATGTTAAGTTATGATTCTTTGTTTAGCCGCAGATACACCTGAGAGATAATAATAGCTTATGCTTTTACCTACAAGTCATTATCACTTCAGTGTGTAGCTGTTTATCAGCTCCTTTCCAAGGGAGTATATTTGTATGTCACCCTCACTTAAGGGCATTTAAGGATAATGATCCTATTTTATAGGCAGTGAGCACATTTTACTAATATATTTTTGATAAGTAGGAATTGATGAACAGATAATAGCAAAGGAGGAAAGAAATTTAGAGTTGAAAATGGGATGTTGATCAGTAACTCTCAGAGCCCAATAGTAGAAATAATTATTTGTTAGATGGCAAGTTCTCAGACATACTTGCTATGTGTTGTTCTTCTAGTGGACTTTTCTTCTTTGTCCTATGAGTGCAGCCAAGGATGATGCCTGTCTCCAAGTCTGGTCAGTGATCCTTTGTTCTAGTTTGTCTTTCCGTGGCTCCTTAAAAAAAACTGAATGTATAGACATCTTTGTAAGTTTTTGTTCTATTTATCAATAGTAATGGACCAATTAATAGTGTTGGTACTTACCATTGAATAAGGAAAATCCCACTTAATGTGATAACTTTTCAAGCAGAAACTTCCATTCCTTTCTGTACAATTTTCTGTTTGCATGCTGAGATTCCTAAATCTGAACTATAAGGTCATGATTATTTTGCCAACCTGTTCAACTCTCTTTTGTACCCAGGTAGAAAATTGCATGGTTTCTCTTACATGCTAGCCTGGCTTTAAGCAGACACAACAGGTTGCAGGTTAATCTTAGCGGCCATGAGACCGCAAAGATGTCAATAAAGAGATAAAAGGTCATGAAGTTTCTGTCTGTTTACAAGCACCTGAAATTGATGACCAAGTATACACCATGGCACCTGATTTCTCTGTGGGGTTCCTACATCTCCCTTTTGCTGGGGACACATTCTTATTTGGTTTCTTAACACTGTATTTAAGGTCTCATCAGATAGATACCTAGAACAAGGTGAATGACCTGCAATGCACATGATTTCTGGTTCCCTGGTACCTTCTTCTGGCAAGCCAAGTTAACCCCATGTGACCGCTCTTCCTTTTCTCCACTAAACTCCAGAGCCAGACCTAATCCTTCTTTCTAAATTTGTTTTCCCAGTTCATTCATTTCAATATATACTTGAGTTAAGGTATGCTATAGGGAAGGATGAAGAAAATATTGGTTCCTTTATTCTTTCTCTCCATTACCTTGTGGGCCTTGATGACACTGGGAGAGTATGTGGCTGGTTCTTGAGCTCAGGGTGGAGCATATGAGAAAAAAGCATGAGACCAAGGACAAGTAGCTATAGAGATTGAGAAATGTCAGCCCATTGGTTCAATTAGAGTGCCAGACTCTTTTCTAGTTGGCTGTGTCCTCAACGCCTGCTGTCATGCTGTTACAGAAGGGCAAGGGTAGCTTACAGTATAATTATCATTTCTTCCACACAGATGTTGAGCACTGATGATATGCTGTGCATTAGAATAAGGCAGGGAATGAGACAAGCAAAACCCAGTAAACACGTGAATCAATGAAATAATATCAGGAAGTGATAATTACTGTGGCAAGGTGACGTCATAGTAACCAGAGGCATGGACAATCAAGCTGGTGTTTTTTTGTTTTTTTGTTTTTTTGTTTTTTTTTTGAAAGTCAGATATAAGGAGAGGAAGATCTTCGATCCACTGAGTCACTCCCCAAGTGGCCACAATGGCTGGAGTTGAGTTGATCTGAAGCCAGGAACCCAGAGCCTCTTCCAGGTCTCCCACAGGGGTGCAGGGTCCTAAGGCTTTGAGCCATTCTCAACTCTTACCCGGGCCATAAGCAGAGAGCTGGATGGAAGCAAGGCTGCTGGCATTAGAACAGGTGTCCATATGGAATCCTGGCACATGCAAGGAGAGGATTTTAGCTACTAGGCTACCGTGTTGGACCCCAAGCTGGTGTTTTGAGAGGTCTCTGAAGAATGGATAACTGAATGGAGAGTGAAAGACAAGAAGACAGGGAGAACATACTGCAGGGTAGGGGAGACAATAGCACGTGTAAAGCCCCAAATTATGCCTTGGGCTTGGAACAACCTTGATTTCTCATTTTTCTTTAGGGCAGTAGAAAGTATAGAGAGCTGGTTCTGGACTCTGCTGTCTCATTGACCAGCTGTGCAGCCTTGAACAACTCACCTAAGTTCAACAAGTAAAATGGAATTATTTGGCTGGGAATTCTAAAACTCTGTCAACTTTTAACATCTGAGTACACAAAATCTCCATGTCACAAGTGATGATGATGATGACTCAGTGATATTTAAATGGTACAAGAAGTGATAAGTCCATTTAAGGTGGTCCTGGGCATGATCCCCTCAGGGAGGGTAATCATAAAAACTGAAATTAAGCCCCAACCTTAAGACACTGGAAAGGTATTGAAAACAAACACTGCTGAGTTCTCACTAATGGGTCCTGGAAATATTCATGATCTCTTTAAAAATACTTGCAGGATTCTTGTAGAGAAGACCATAATGGACCACCCATTCTTCACAAAGGTTTTGAAAGGAAAGTATTTCTTCTCCACAATGAAGAGCCCAAAGCTAGGATTATGTGTAGATATTTTCTATGTGAGGTGATGCAAGGGAGCGGAAGTGAGAAAATGAGGTGAAAAGACAGGGAAAGAAGCAAAATCAAAATCACAGGTGAGGGTGAGGAGAATTAGGTGCCATTGATAAATGTCAGCTAAATGATCCAAGTTTATTAACATGCTTCTGGCTCCATTTAGTCAAGGTTCGCCCCTGGGTCATGAACTCCCCTACTTTTCTGAGCTGTCTTTGGGCTCTGGCTAAGCAATTTTCTCTGATGTTGAAGGACTTTTGTACAGGATGAAAACTATATGCATCACACTATTGAAATGCCAGGCTATCTGCCTAGGTTCAGTCTGAATTCTGGTAGAAACCGTTGACAGAGCTGAGGGCAAAGTCAGTGGTGGGGGGAATGGATGTGACATTATCACTGGAAAAAGAACTAAAGTTTGGACAGAATGTAATTGTGGAGATGGGGCTGGACTCATCCTCCTGAAGTCCTTTAATGCATGCTGATGCCAGACACCCCTGGCAAATCCAGATGGGAATCTAGCCCATCAGTAACCAAATCCATGGGGAAGACTCAGAACAGAAGACCACGATGACCTCACAGAGATAAATCTTTCCTTTGGGAGATCTTAGAGCCAGGAAACTTAGTCAAATATTAATTTAGTGTACTGTAAAAGGCATTTTGGATGAATAAAGACCGCAAAGTTGTATGCAATTAGTACATAATAAAAAGTAATAATGACAAAGTCCACAGCTTCCCACGGTTTGCCGTAATGAATAGGGTGGGAGGCGTAGATGACTTAGCATTTGGATTTTCTTTCAGCAAATTCTTGTTTGAAAACTCAAAATCCATACAGTGTTAAAGACTAAATAATACAACCATTCTAAATGTAAGAATAAGCCAGAGAAAGCGTGGCCCTAGGTTCCAATATCCAAAGTTCCAGCTTACTGCTGATCAATTCAACTAGCTTGGTGATATTGGGATGTGTTCACTGAATTAGAGCTCCAATAAAGAGTGAAAAAGAAAGGAAAACATCTCGGATAAAAGAACTCTCTGAACTTTAGGTTTCTCCCCTGTGAAAACGATTATAATAACTCTCTTCGTGCCTGTTGGAAAAAAAATGAATGAACTTTGTAGAAAAGTGCTCTGTAAACAGTCATACCTCTTAAAACACCATAATTGTATAATCTAGAGTTTAAAATGTAGTTGTTACGAATTGTTGAAATGACACACACCAGTCTGCTCATTAAAAGAAGGAAGCCCTGCTTATCTTAACCTTGTTGAGTGCAAAAAAAAAAAAAATTCAAAGAGCCAAAAAGAATTAGCTACATGTAAATAACTTTCTGGGTGCCCTAAGGAAAGGAACGCATGTCCTGTATCATCTTGACATTATAGCATCACTCACAATAGCTTTGGAATACACAAATCATGCTATTTCCCTTACTGTATCTAATAGTTTTCCCAAAGCTTGATTCTGAACAAAACCCAGCAAGTGGCAGGAGACAGATCCCATCCACAATCCTGTACACCTGCATTCCATTTCTTTTGACTATTTTTTGTGGCTTTGTGCTTTACTCAGTTGTTTATCCACACCTTCTGAGGATAATGCTTCGTTTATACTACAAGATACTCATGTTGGAATCTGGTTCTTGCCTATACTTAAATTAAAAGACCCTTCCAGATGTTATAGATTCAGCCAGATGTATTTAAATACAATTAAAATCTTGAGTTGCACTTTGGTAGACTCTTTCTGACATTTGGTTTCAGGTATTTTTATACCTCTCTGACTTAATTTAGTTCTTGCTTAGTGGGTTAATTAAAGCTTAAAATGATCAGAATATGGAAAAATACAATTGTCTGAGATAAAATAAAGCCATTTTAGGACGCTAGTAATATTTTCACTGCTGTTTCCTATCCACATCTCTTTCACGGCTCTAAATGGCCTCTGTGGTTTTCATTAACTAATTCACCATGGCTTTGGTTCTTGCCCTCTCAAGGAATTTCAGACCTGCTACTCTTATTAGTGGAGTAAAGAAATGACAGAAGGAAAAACATTGACCGAGCATTTATTTCTTACCAAAGAGATGATTGTTTCTTTTAGGTAGGGCATGCATAGTCAAAGACAAATTAGCCAACAAGTAGGTGATTCCACTGAGGTCTAAGGCTTAGTTCTCAATCTTGTAAACCAGGACACGCCATCTCAGGTGAGCTACCCTGGAAAGATAGACTAAAAGTCATATTGCAAGTTTATAGATAAATAATAAAATGAGTTGTGAGGAGAACAGTTACTAATTAGTGACTGCCTTGCGTGTGTCATACATCATGCTAAGCACATTATGGACTTGTTAGCAGACATTTTGGATTCAACCTCATCTCTGCCGTCTACTAGCCTGTATTTGTGGGAATATATTTTTTTACCTTTGAGCAAGTAAAACAGAAGGCTGTTTGGCACATCCTACAGTACTGTCATTAATATTAATTCTCATGATATCATGATACAGTAGAGAAAAAGGACATCAGATTATTTGCTCAAGGTATCATAAATTGTAAGCAGGCAATCAAATATATAATTACGATGAGAGACTGGATTTAAATGTTTAAGACTCCGGGCCAAAAGAAAACCCTGTTCACATTCTTCATGAAGAAACTAGCACAGTGTACCTGGTTTTGGCCATGCTCCTTCCCAAGAGGCATGCTCAGAAAAAGCATAGTCAGTGTCTGCCCTAGGACTTCTCTTTGTGCCCTCATAGCTAGTGACTGACCCACTGTGAATGGCATAGCATTCACATTGCTCCTGAATGCCACATGTAGCAATACCAGCCTGCAGAACTTTCTATGATGAAAGAAATGTTCTAGATCTACTTCATCCATACAGGAACCACTAGCTGCATGTGGCTATTGGATACTTGTGACTAGTTGACATTCAATAAGCCATACACAACAAATCAGTAAAACATGTATTTTTGTTTAAAAATAATATGAAGCAATTGATCATCTCTATGAAACAAGCAAAGGAATCCAGAGAGTCTTATGACGACAACATTCCGTGTGACTTTTACTCACTGATGAAAGTTTCCTGGATTACCTAAACTGTCCTAATTATTTCTTTTCTTCACTTATTTTTTTCCCTTGTCCTATATGTTGCTGGTGATCCTTGCCTAGCTGCACACACACAATTCTCTAAAACCCAGATACTTAATCTTAAAGATCTGTGCATTTCATTATACACTGATTGCATCACAATTCATGTAAGTTAGGTTTAGGCATTTGGCGTAGTATTAAGATGCTAGTAAAGACATTAAATCGCATATCAGGGTGCATAGAATGAGTCCTGTCTCTGTTTCTGATCCATCTTCCTGTTAATGCCCACCTGAGGTGGTAGACAATGGTTCAGTTAGTTGGGTTTCTGCTACTGATGTGGGAGACCTGGACTGAATTCCCAACTCCCAGCTTAGACCTGGAGCAAACCATTACAGGCATTTGGGGAGTAAACCGAGAATGCGAGAACTCTTTCTCTCCTTCCCATTTTCTTTCCCTTCCTGTTACACTGCCTCTCAAAAACATACATTTAAAAAAAAAAGAAAGGGGGACTTGCACTGTAGCATAGTAGGCTAAGCCTCCACCTGTATGCTGCCATTCCCATGTGGGCACCGGTTTGTGTCCCAACTGCTTCACTTCTCTTCCAGCTCCCTGCTTGTGGCCTGGGAAAGAAGCAGAGGACGGCTCAAATCCTTTCCTAAATGGGAGACCCAGAGAAAACTTTTGGTTCCTGGCTTTGGATCAGCCCAACTCTGGCCATTGCAGTCATTTGGCAAACAAACCAGCATATGAAAAATCTCTCTCTTTCACTGTTAATTATTAGTATAGATGATTTGAGGTCAATGGATAGCTTCTTTTATTCTAACCAAAGCAAAACCTCTGCAGAATATCTTGAAACAGGAAATATGAAGATGGTCTGGTTCACATCCTTTAGTTTGTCTTCCACCAAAGATCTTCTAGAGGCAGGAATAGCTCTGGGATTGTGAGGAGACTGTGGTGCTCACAAGAGCCATGGTAGCTGTAGGACAGGCTGGGCTAGGCTTCTGCACCTGCTGAACCATCCCACAGCTAGGGCTGGGGGTGAACTGGCTAGTATTGCCCAACCCAACCTATCCTGCATCCTGTCCTAGTTTTCACACCTGCCACTGGGTGCTATGAACTGGTGCAGCCTGGCCCTCCCCCAGATCTGACCCAGTGGCATTAGGGCCAGGACTGGGGGCTGACTGGGCTGGGCTAGGCAGTAACACCCACCAATATGAGCTGGAACTGGGGGTAGGCCGAGCCAAGCCAGGCTGTGGAACCCGTTGGCCTGCAAGTGAACTGGGTTGAGGGAGAGCCAGGCTGGACTAAGCGGCCATATCTATTGGTGCATACATGAACCAGATTAAGTCCTGGCTGGTTGGGTTTTGCTGCAGTATCAGCTGGCAAGTGCTGAACTAGGGGCATGTTCTGTCAGGCTAGACTGAAGTACCACCTGGAAAATGCAAGATATGGGGCTGGGACTGGGTTCAGTAGGGAAACTGGGGTCACCTCTGTGATGGGCTATAACTCCTACTGGTGAGCATGAGAACCAGTGCTGGGGGTAGGCCTGGCTAGACAGATGGTAACACCTGTTGGTATGAGTGTGGGCTAGATCGTGGGTTTGGTTGGGTTGAGTTAGGCTCCAGTGCCTGTTGATGTGTGTGAGAGCTGGAATGGGATGGGGGACAGACTGGACCATTCTGCTGCACATACCAGCATGCACAAGAACCATGGCTGCAGGAGGACCTAGTGGGGGTTATTGGGGGTTGCTCCAACTAGGCTGCAGTTCCCAGTGGTGTATGTGAGGGCAGAGTGTGTGATGGGTAGGGTTAGGCTGGGCCTCAGCATCCATTGATTTGCTCATGAGATGGGAGTTGGGACAGAATTCATCAAGTGAGGTGACTGCAACCATCAGTGTGTATGTAGGCTGATGCAGATAATGGACTGAGCTGGACCCACACTGGCTGACACACACAGGAGTCAGGTTGGGGTCCCCTCTGGCAAGATTTCTTTGGGGAATGGACTCAGAACTCCAATCATGGTTAAAATCATAGGATATATGATCTGACCATGGAGTACATGTGTCAGAATTGGGTCTCCATGGTTGGTGAGACCTGTGCAGGGGAGGTATGCCCAGATGTTCATAGAAGACATGACAACCAGTTCATTGAGGCCTGCAGAGAACATTTAGTACTATGGAGGGCAGAACAAATTAGACAGCTCTCCCAGACAAATATCTGCACAAATCGAGACTCTAAGGTGGACTCTGTCAGCCAATGGACCTTGGAAGGATTCCCTCACCCTTGGAGCAATGAAATCAACAGCATCTCAGAACTATCAGAACCACTAAGCAGTATCCTCAGAACATGCTCCACATCGGGGACCCTAAGATGACACTGGCTGGCAGACCCCCATTCCTGGGTACTGATGCGGTTGGGTTGCTGGGAGTGGCCCTCTCCTCTTCTCTCTCCACTTTACCCAGATACCAGAAGAACAAAGGAGACTGGAGACATTTGTCTCATCCACTTTCCCCCGTTCCTCATCCCTCACCACCCTAATTGGTGGTCCACATAGGCATCCATTCCTTTCAACTATGTAAATATTATCAAAAGTAAAATGAATTTGTTATTTTTTAAAAAGTACACTGAAGACAAGGAACAGCTTTTCGAGTGGAGATCCCCATACTGAGAAATTCAAACCAAAATAATCCAGCACCATTTGCCAAGTGGATCTCTTGATCCTCAGAAGATCCAGGATTAAATCTCATCTTCCTCTGTACTAATTAGTTGATTATGGAGACTCACCTAAGCTCACTGAGTTGCTGTGAAATAGAGTTGAAGATAATAGGCAATATGATCAATATCACCCTCAAAGAATACAAATGAGGATCTTATGAGATATGCATTTGGAACTCTAAGTCATAAATTTTGTAGACCATAACCATGCCTTGCAATGATTACAACACCTGTGTAGCTCACCTTTGCCTTTTAAAACTGCTTCCACAGTAATTATTTTATCTTCACAACAAGTCTTTGAGGGAAGTAGGGCAGGAAGTATTATCTGTATTTTACCATCTGGTAATATAACACATGAGGCCCACACAAGCCAAGTGACTTGTTTAAAGTTACATAGTGCATCTGGCTGCATCTTGCTAAGGCTCACCCTGATCCCACTGTGCCCCTTTCTAAAGCCTTCTCTTCTCTTAAACAACCACCAGGCTCAAGGTTGATAGCCAGAGGTAATGATTCAGCATAAAAAAATGAAAGTATTCTTCCTCAATAAGCAAACCATGCTATCACCTAAGTCCAAAGCTGAATAATCACAGTATAATGAGGATGGGTGCTAACCACCTCTAAGATATTCTTATATTAATTCACCAATATCTACAGACAGTTATAGGATCATCAGTCTTATTTTATAAATGAGGAGATCAAGGTTGAAAGTGGCTCTAGAATTCATGGTCCACAGAGTTAGTAAGTGCCAAAGAAGCCAAGATGTATTAGCTTGCCAGGGCTGCTGTAACAAATATCAAAGACCAGGTGACTTGAGCAATAGAAAGTTATTATCTCAGTTTTGGGGTGCTGGAAGCCGCCAAATCAAAGTAGCAGCAGACCTGATTTCTCCTGAGGATGTTTTAGAGCAGGAGCTGCTCCAGGCCTATCTCCTGGACTAGTAAAATGAGATTTTAATCTGTGTCTCTCTTCACACCACATCCCCTCGAAGTATATCTGTGTCCCAATGTCCCATTTTAACAAGGACATGAATCACATCAATCCTCAGTTTGATTTTATTACCTCCACATGACCCAACCCCTAGATAAGGTCCTATTTCAATTAATGTAAATCAACACGTTAACATATGGATTTTGAGGGCACTGAATATAATCTGTATTGTTGGTTACAAACTCAGTTGGCCAGATCAGTGGGTCTTGACACCAACACTCTGAAGCATTGTGCTTTAATAACTTCCTGCTGTTAGAAAACATTTTGTCCTTTTGGCTTTTGAAAGGAACACACGTAAAGCCTAGATCAGGGTACTTGACATCCTAGTCCAGAGCATCGAACAAAAATCCATCCTTTCAATGTTTTTTTCCACTGGAAAAGGAGCTCCCTGCAAAGTGTTTATCTAGGAGACTGATTTCCAGCTTACTAGGCAATTTGGCATTAAGGACTTTCTCATAAACATTTACAAATATTCTTCTCTGTAATGAAGTTAATCAGTAAACCGCACAACCTCTGGCCTCTGTCACTTCTTACCTAGTCTCATTTTCAGTTGCTGTGAATAAGCTAAGAATGGTAATGCAGTTTCAGGGGTTAGAAAATCCAGTTCATATCAGTCCTCATCCCAGCTGTACACCACCAGAATTTGTCACGGACATGATGAGTATGAAGCCTGCTAAAGGTAGGATGCTGCTTGCAGGTGCTCTGGGTTGAACTTCTGCAACTGAACGGAGACATGTGGGCGCTTCTGAGATCAAGCAACAGATCTGTGTCAAAGATGGCTCAGCCTGATTAACAAGAGTGGGGTGGAGTGATTTCTATTGGGTTCTCAGCTGGGAAATATCTCATTGGGATTAAATCTAAGTGTGTGTTTCCTAAAATTCTTCATGAAATGTTGTGTTAAATTAACATTATTTCAAGTAAAACTTTAACATTACTACCAATAGACACATAGAAAATCATTTACAAGTGCATCTTAAAATACGTTTTTAGAGACAAATCTTGGATTCCAGTGAAACATGAATTCTAGTAGCCTGTGATCAACACACACACACACGAATAAATGAAAGAGTGACTTTCAAGAAGAATAGGTATTAATTCATCAAAATTTTGCTCCTATTTAATACAAAATATGTATGCAATGTAGTCATGACATAAAACACATTTTAGGCTATGTACTGTGGCTTAAAAATTATCAAGAGAAATACTGAATTTAAAGAGCTAGTTTCATAGTAGTTGTCTCCCAATAGCATATAACAAATCAAAGAAGTAAAGAGTTGGGTTTGGGGAATGTGGTGTTGGTTTTCTCTGAATTCATAGACCATAATCAAATTATAACTAAATATAAATAATATTTTGCTCAAGTTAGAAAAGTGATTTTTAAATTTCCAGAAAAATAAATTCCAATAATTTTACACTAATTACAATTGTGAACATATTTTTTCTGTCATGGAGTTGGCATCATCCCATCTGGTGGAAGTGTAATTTTTGAAAGTGACCAACAATGTTTTTAGAAATGGAAATTAGTTGGAAGGTCAGTGAAGCAAATTTTCCACTTTAAAAACATTTATTAAACATTTACTACATGTCAGGTGCCAAGGATGACAAAAGGGGAATACAATACTTTCTTCCTAGGAATTCAGATTAATCATACCAATAAAAATGAGTTGAATGACTGTATTACACAAGGCACTATGCAGTCTACTCTCTTTGTCTTAGTTCATCCCCGAGATGATTTCTTGCATAGGTACCACCTTTGTAGAGGAAGGAACAGTTTTAAAGCTCAGTGTCTTTCCCAAGGTCACACATATTGGTCGTTCAAGGTACTGAATCTAAAATTCGCCGCTTAGTGATACACTCTAGTCCGGAGTTTCATACTTCCTCGAGTTTAGTATGGAAGATAAGCCTGTGAAGCAATCAAAACAATTGTACACGCTTCAGGTAAGTGCTGCAGTAGAGGTGTGTACAAAGGGTGGGAGGAAAGAATTCCACCCAGCAGAACTGGTGCAGGCTTCACAGAGGAGGACTCAGCTGACAAAGCAGGGAGAGGCATCAGCACAGGCCTGGAGTTGGGTAGGGCAAACAAATTGATACCAAGGATTTGGAAATAGGATAGTAGAAAAGGACATTTTTCCACTCATTCCAATTCAACAAATATTTGATAAATATCTGCTGCAGTTGGCCTTGTGCCAGAGATGGGTCCTACCTGGACAATTTCTAGGGAACATCAGAAACTGTGAGATTGTGGAAAAATGCTTTTATTGTTGTGTGGGTCTGAGTCTCCCAGATACTTGGGTACATGGTGGTTCTGGTCACAGGCTTACTACTGCGTTGTTTTGGCAGTCACTAGCCACATGCGTCTCTTTAATTTTAATTTCTAATTACTTAGTTTAAATAAAATACAGCATTCCTTTCTTTTTGTGGCATTTCTCCGAACTTTTTCTCAACACGGTATTTCAAACCTAGAATTGCCTTATAAAATAGTGAGTTTGGGTGTTAATAGTATCATTTTACAGAAGAAATTGAGGCAGGAAACTACCAGGCAACTGTGTAAGATGTCAAGGCTTACATATGGTGGAAATTGTCTCAGCCCACTTTTTTGAAATCCGTTGCTTGTGCTGGCTCATATATTTACATATGGCCATATATTTACATCTACACTTTGTGAAGGTTTGGTGGGCACACTTTGGCATGCTAAAAGCAGATATGCTTAGAGAATAGAGGCATTACTTAGCATTCTTGTTTCCTGTTCTCCTGTTTTATCACATCTCATTGTTTCAGCTTAATACAAAGGTTATCTGTGTGTATGGAAACTTCCTAGTTGAAGCTAGATGATTCTTGAGACAGATGTGACATTGATATTATTATTTGACCTGAGTTGCAAGTTCATCGCGTTTATTGATTCTCAAAATATTTGTTTTTCTGGAGACAGTGCTTACAGACTTGGAATCGTCATGTTTGGAGAAAAAATTAAGCATTTCCTTGAATTTGACAGAATTCAATAGAATGTCATGAATTTGTTGTCTGACCTTGGGCAAGTTGTTTAACCTTTATTATATCTTTGGTGGGGAGAAATTGGGGTGATGGATGAGGAAAGGAAGGGTAAGATAGGTTGGAAGATAAAATTTGGGTATAAGTAAAATTAGTAATTTTAATGGTTTTAGCTTTTCCCAATTTTTTTCATTTTAGAAATTCTAACCATTTTGCTTATAATTAGAAATGTATTTACTTTTTTCTGCAACCATTTCATATTTTTATTCTTTCACTTTATGCTCATAAGACAAAGCACCACCATCAAAATTTTTTATCTACCTGATTTTCTGTTGATTTTTTTGTAACTTAATTGAACCTAAAAGAAAGGAAATAGATTGATGCAGCATACTATGTCAATTACTTCTTGGGTCAATGAAGAAAGCATTTTCTTTTTAAAATTTTTAAACATTTTAAAATTCTTGTTTGAAAATCGATGTACCAAGTGACAAGGAGCTGCAGAGAGATGGAGACAGAGAGAAAGACTTCTTCCATCCCCTGGTTCATTCCCCAGATGGCCCTAACAGGATGGTTTGGCTAGGTCAGACCTAGGAGCTAGGATCTTCTTCCAGGTGTCCCCCAGGGGTGGTAGTAACCCAAATATTTGGGCCATCTTTTCTCTTTTCCCCAGGCCAGTAACAGAGAGCTGGACCATAAGTGGAACAACTGGGATGTGAGCCAGTGCCCATAAGGGATGCCAGTGTTATAGGTGGCAGCTTAACCCCCCTATGCCAAAATGCCACCCCCAAAACATTCCTTTTAGTGTTTAATATGTTTACTGTTGGACTCAACATGGTAGCCTAGTGGTTAAAGTCCTTTCTAATCCCGGCAACCCTGCTTCCCATTCAGCTCCCTGCCTGTGGCCTGGGAGAGCAGTCAAGGAATGCCCAAAGCCTTGGGACCCTGCACCCACGTGGGAGACCTGGAAGAGGCTCCTGACTCCTGACTTTGGATTGGTGCAGCTCTGGCTGTTGTGGCCACTTGGAGAGTGAATCAATGGATGGCAGATCTTCCTATCTGTCTCTCTTCCTCTCTGTATATCCGACTCTCCAATAAAAATAGAATAATTTTTATTTACTGTTATAAAAAATCCTAAATCTTAATGAACCCACTAACTCTGTCACATTGAGATTTTAGATAGAAAGAGCTAGTGAAGTCGTCCCTTGCTTAGATGCCCAAAGGCTGAGTCAGGATGGAGAGACACAGACACGGGTGTCCTTTTGGTATCTTCAGGGGATCGATTGCAGGACCCCCTGTGGGTGTCAAAATCTGTGGATTCTCAAGTTCCTAATATAACATGCTGTAGTGGTTGCATGTAATTAGTGTTCTGGGGTATGTGTATGTAGTTATTATTTTTTTATTTTTCATAGCACAGTTCCTTAGGCTCAGGGATTTCAACTCCCCCTTTTCTTCCACCCCAACTGCTTTCCCCTGTATTATAACAATAGTATAGTGCTTCAACAACAATTGCAAGTTCATCATTGTTCTATGTAAGTGTGTCATTGTAGATATAGACAATGGTAGAAAGGCCAGCATTATGTTGAACGATGTATTTAGTAGTTTCATTGGGAGTCCATCTTTATTCAGAAGCAGAGATGCTTACTGCAATGTATTTCCACTTTATGGTATTCTTACCTCCATTGTAGAGTTCCTCTAGATAAAAATATATGTAGATACATGTTTACCTATACATCTATTGATTTTTTTATTTTACCTGAAGATTACCTTATATTAGAGAGAACATATGATATTTGTCCTTTTGGGATAGGCATATTTCACTGTGAATAATGGTTTCTAGTTTAGTTGGGAACATTTTGTTGCAAAGGGTTGCATTTCATTCTTTTTAACTCCTGAACAGTATTCCATAGAGTATATGTGCCACCACAGTTTCTTTATCCATTCCTCTTTCAGCAGGCATTTGGCTTGTTTCCATGTCTTTGCTGTTGTAGATTATGCTGCTATAAATATAGGATTACAGCTCACTTTCTCATTTACAGATTTCATTTCCTTTTGATATGTTCCCAGAAATGGGATAGCTGGGTCATATGATAGGTCAATTTTCTGTTGTCTCAGTACTCTCCGTACTGAGTTCCAAAGTGGTTGTACTAGCTCACACTTCATCAGTGGTGAAGTAAGGTACCTTTCTCCCCACTCCCTGCCAGCAGATATTGTTAGTTGAGTTTTGGACGTAGGTCAATATCACTGGAGTTAGGTGGAACCTCAATGTGGTTTTTATTCCTATTTCCTTCCAATTCTGACTCTGACTTTCTCCCACTGCACACTTTACGAAACAGTGGGTGATGACTCAGTGATGGTCTTGTTCCCCATGTGAGAGATCTGGATTGAGCTGGGTGCTCCAGGCTTCAGCCCCCGACCATGCCTGTTGACTGTAGGCATTTGAGACGTATAACTGACCCCTGCCACCCTCTGTCTCTCTTCACAATTGTAACTCTCTAATGAATAAAAAAAAATCATTACTTCTACTTTAATATCAGCTCCAATTTATCAAATACTTCCGGTGTGCTAAACACTCAGAAAATGCTTGCCATGTCCTATCTCAATGAAGCTTTACATCAATCCAGGAAGGAAGTTATCATTTCCTGTTTTAAGAAATGGAACTTAAAGATGCTGAGTAAATTGCCAGTGTCACACAAAGAATATTACATGGCACAGATTTAAATCAAGGTAGATAGATTGCACATACTTAATCTCCCCAATTTTTGAAGCTCCTCCTTTGTTATATAATGATTAAAATAACATGCATTTATGACAAAAATTACAAACATGAAAACAATTTCAGTTTCCTACTCCAGAAAAATAACATATAATATAATCTTCCATAGTCATAGCTGTTGAGATTGTTTTGTAACACAGAAATTCGCCTTGCACAAAGACATGGTATTTTAAAATTTTCATGTGATTTTACATATTATTTTATAGGTTTATTCTTTTCAAATAGCATTATATTATAGGAACCTTGCCATGTCAGTCACATGGAGATTTAAATCATTATCTCATACTTACATAATCTTTCAGAATGTTGATACAACAAACTTCATAAGCTAAACTCCTTGATATATATTTAACTTGCTTCCAGCTTATGGTTCTTACAAAGTTTCTGAGAATAACTAATCTTTAATGAAACTGTTATTCACAGAAGTTCAAGCATCAAATACAAGTTTTCTATGAAAATTTATGCTGAGTATTTGAGCTTTAAATAGTGGAAGATATTGATAAACTGCCCTTCATATGTGTTTATTTTCCTGAGTGTGTGTTACTAAATTTTTTAAACTTTGAGAATGAAAGTATTTCAGTTTGGACTTAATTGTTGGCAAGCATGAATGTATTTTTGTGTATTTATGGAACACTTGTGGTTATCTTTCTGAGAAATACATCTGTCTAAATGAAATTAAAGATAACTCATGTCTTTTTGTCCTTTTTCTTTTAGGTTGTTGAGTTTTTCTAATTGGTTTGCAAAAGCTCTTGCAGATTTAGATGAATCTTTGGTTTGTCCTCTCTAGTGCAGATATTTTCCTGAGTTTATAATTTGTAATTTGATTATGTAGGAATATGACACACATTCTATGAAAATGTAAATTTCTACAGTTAAGTATTTCAGTCTTCTCAGAGACTACATTTTAAGTGATAACTCTAAATCCTCTGTGTCATTTCCAGAATTATGGCATTAATTATAGTATTCTTGTCACTTTCATCCAGGTGTACTAACAGAACAAGTAACAAGTCCTCTGGGACAGAATCTAGAAGTGGAACCATATTCACAATACAACAATGTTCAGTTTCCCCAAGTTCAACCACAGATTTCTTCATCATCATCCTATTATTCCAACCTGGGTTTCTACTCCCAGCAGCCAGAAGAGTGGTACTCTCCTGGAATATATGAACTCAGACGAATGCCAGCTGAGACCTTCTACCAGGGAGAAACAGAGGTAGCAGACATGCCTGTGACCAAGAAGCCCCGGATGGGCGCGTCCGCAGGGAGGATAAAAGGGGATGAGCTGTGTGTTGTTTGTGGAGACAGAGCATCTGGATACCATTATAACGCACTAACCTGTGAGGGCTGCAAAGGTAAGCATCTCTTCATTGTCAACTACCTCCTTGTGAAGGTCACACTACAATGATGGTTGAAATGCTTTGAGTTTGATGTTTCCCTTTCTTCTTGTAACTTCCTGTTTTCTTCTTCTTTGTTCCTCTTCTTCCTACCTCTTCACCTTCATTGGATTACCTTAGATCCTAAAAGAAATGCATAGAATATTTAGCTTAAATGCAAATAATCATGCGATGAAATTTAATTTGTTGTGGATTTTGTTTGGTTTTTTCTTAAGAAAAGAGAAGCTGTTGAGATAATCTCTTTAAAATTAAGATTCAGGAAAATAGGATTTTCTTCATCCATTTTCATATAATTTAACTGTAAAAAAGAGAAAAGAAATTGTGAAAAAAGGAAGTACTAATTAATTACCTACTTGATAATAGAAACATCTAATTATTAAACATTGTATCTAAGAAGCATTTATTTTTACATTTCTAATAGAAATCCATTCAGAATGGAAAAATATAACATGTGATATATGAAAATGATTAACATCTTCATGTTATTACCATTTCAATAAGGGCACAAACAGTAAGTGTGCAAAATTTCAGGGAAAAGGATAGCATGAACTAACCTGCTCATCCATTTAATTTGGTACTTATTCACTCCACAAATGTTTCTGAAATGCTCACATGAAATGCTCCTATACTTGTTAAGACATGAATCTAACTGGGGTTTTTCCAATACCAACGACTGCCACAAAATGAACACTTGACCCCGTCATGTAAGACTGGACCAAGGGCATTTCAAACCATTCAAAGTTTGAAATGTCTGATTGTGTAAAACCGTATTAGTCACTTTCTACAAATGCAATGGGATTTCATTGCACCAAATTTTAAAAATTTGATTCTTCCCTATCTTCAAATAGTAAAAATGAAATTATTATCTTCCAATCCCTGTAACAAATCACATGAATAAATGTCTATTGAGACACATAATGAAAATCCATGTTAATTGCTTACATTTAGTGTGTGTTTAGCTTCATATATATTTATATGTGTGTGTATACAAACTATATTTTATAATTTATGAGTTCTCCATTTATTTTTGCAGCAATCATTAGCATTGAAAGCTTTAATTTAGCATACCACCCAACTGATTCTGCTGAAGGGACAGTTCTTACCCTGGCAGTTATCAGAGCACCTGATATGTGTGTGTATTTACATGCACAAATATAGTAATATACATAAGGTCTAGACATTTATATGAACTACAAACATATAAAATAATTTATAAATATATGAAGCTACACACATGTATATATACTAAATACTAGCAGTGTAAGGTCAGTGCTAATAGCTTACATTAAATATTCCCTATACTTCATTAGAATACATACTAATTTTCATACTTTAGTGTACATTTTATAACAGAGAAAACTGAACTGCAAGAAGTTAAGCAGCATACTCAGTGCTTCACAACTAATAATGAGAACCTTAAAATTAGAGCTTATAAATCTAACTTCTGAGCCTGTTATAACCAGCCACAAGATTGTAATGCTATTTACTGTTTGCCCATGAGGTAGATCAAGAGTGGATCACGCTACTTTTGAACTATTTGCTCTAGGTTAATATAGACTAATTCAGTGGCCAAAGGAAGAAAAATCCAGTGCTCCACTGAGAGAGTGAAGTATTAGTGTTCTCAATCAGTGGGATAAATCCCTCAAGTCTGTAACCTGAGATGGCTTGCTTTCTTCAAAAATGGGCTAATAAAATATGATTCTCCTCAGAATAATTCTGGTGAATACCAGGGTAAATAGAACAGGAGTAGGGAACCAAGGACAATCCCTGAAACCGCAGCGATAAAGGCAGGCAGAGGGGACTGTGGCTTCCATGGTAAAGCATCCTGTGACGCCAGCTGTACCACCCATGACACCAGCATTCTCTATGGGCACCAGTTTGAGTGCCGGCTGCTCCACTTCTCATCCAGAGCTCTGCTAATGCAAAACTGGAAAAGCAGTGGAAGATTGCCCAAGTGCTTGTACCCCTCCAATTGATGTGGGAGACCCAGATGAAACTTCTGATTTCGATCTGGCCCAACTCCACTGGTCATTTGGGGAGTGGACCAGCATCTGGAAGAAATCTTTCTGCCGCTCGCTCAGTCTTTGTAACGCTGTCTTTCAAATAGACTTTAAAATAAATATTTAAAATCAGGTAGAGGAAAAAAAGACTGTAAAGTACTTAGCACAAAGGTCAGAGATCTAAGACCACCAGGATCACAGGAAAGAGTGGGACAGAGAAAGTGGACAGAAGAGAATTACTTTGGGGAAAGTTTAGAAAGAAGAAGCCAAATTGGAATGCAGGTATGCTTTTATGAGCAGAGTAAGGCAGGCTTTTTTTCTTTGATTTTGGTTTGATACTTTGTTCCCACAATACCAGTAAAAGGGTAAACTTGCAAGCAGTAGGGACAGGATGCAGCCAAGCAGGTTCTATTTTCTACACTTGAGTTTGGCACTTCCTTTCTACCAAGAGCCACATAGCAAATATTCAAGGCTCTGTACCACTGCAGCCTCTGTTACAACTGCTCAACTCTGCCATTATAGCATAAATGCAGTCACATAAAGATCACACGTGCTATGTTGCAATAAACTTTACTTACAGGAGCATGTGTTTATTTTCGTGACTAAGATGCCTGTGCCCCATTTTTGAGACGCAGAATTCTATTCCAAACTCTGTTTCCTAACTCCAACTTCCTGTCAGTGCAGACCTCGGAAGGCTGCAGGTGAAGACTCAAGTAACTGGGCTTCTGTCACTCCCACAAAACCTGGATTTTGTTTCCTGTTCTTGGCTGCAGCCTCGGCCTAGGGCAGGCCATTGAGGGCATTCGGACAGTGAACCAGGAGACAGGAACTTATTCGCTCATACATATACTGTGTGTGTATGTTTGTGTGTGTGTTTCTCTATGCCTCCCAATTTTTTAAATGGATAGGTTTTGCAACTTTACTTACAAAAGTAGACAGAAAAGTCAAAAACAGGTAGTAGGCCCACTATAGTTTGCTGACCCCTGTTCTCGATCAATGACTCTTAAGGATCAATATCAGAATTAACTGGAAGCTTGTCTAAGTGAAAGAGCAACCCAGTCAGCAACCAATATATGTAAGAAAGGTAAATTTATTTTGTATGAATGAACTTAATGCAAACTCAATTCCTGGTGGAAACTTTATTTCATTCAATTTGGGATTATTCCACTCATCTCCATTAAACTTTTCCTGGAGTTTTGTCTAAGTACCATGATTGACATTAGATTGTGGAGGGATCCTGTGCTTAGGATAGGGCTGTTGTCCTCAGCCATGCTGACACAATCTGGCATCTGTGGGATGCTGTACTGTCTGGTCACTAGCCATCAGTGGCACTACCCAGAGGTCCTGGGAACACTCCACCTTGACCCCTGGTCCCGTCTGTCAGCACAGGTCATTTGGTCCTGATACTGCTCCAGTGCTGTGATGAAACAGCAGGCTGCCCAGAGGAAACCATACAGCTTTTCTTCAGTTCTGGGCTGAGGTCGGTGCAGGGAACCTAGGGATCCTCTTTGCTCTACCCAAGAAAGCACCCAAGAATCCTTCTGCTCTAGGAATCCAAATGACAAGTATGCTCCCTTGTATCTCAGTCGCCCGTCTGATTAAACCCCTAAGGAGTAGGAAGGAAGTGGGAAGAATAGAGGCTGGGATCTTCTCTGGCATGGAACATGTCTTAGTTCTTTTAACTTCCTATTTAACTATCTGCCACCTCCAGCCTAGGGAACTTGCTGTAGTGTTTTTGGATTTGTAGGCTTGGGGTTTAGTGACAAAAATAGTAACAATTGGCTGTTTGGGGCTCTGATGTCCTCTCTTGAGAAAGCCAGCGAAAGTGTCCTGGCTAAATGGGATGAATGGAAGATGTGGTGAGGAAAACTATAGGATGAGAATAGGGTACAAGGTACAAGTGAAAGAACAAATGTCTAGGCCAGGCAGGTCCAACGGCACAACGTGTCTTCTCATCTCGTTGCCTTTATACAACACTATTCATTACATGCAAAGTGATTTCACCTGACAATTTCCAGCCAAGCGAGAGTGAGCTCTGACTCCTCATCTTTTCATTTATCTTTGTGTGTGTGTTTTTTTTTTTTGGCTGGATGAGCAAATTACCTCATATATAAATCAGAGTCCAGTGATCTAACACATAAACCAACATAAATACAAACAAGAATCAATACAAGAGATCTTGGAAGGGTTAGAAAGGCAGGCTCTAGCTGCATCTCTAGCAGGATGTTCAGAGCCACACTACAAAGCCCATTAGTTCAGTTGTCAGTGTGTGGCAATGAACAGGAAGACTTAAAAAGCCGCGACAAGAACTGTTGACTCCAGGGAGATACCACCTTAGCTTCCATGTAGGGTTCTATAAACTGACTTTGTAACAATTACCTGGTTTCAGAGTCATGGTGGGGATGCTAAATCTGCATCTAGATACAAAGAAACTTCATGCATCCCACCTCTCTACACTCAACAGGAGAGCGAGATGGCGCCTGCCAAACCCCACGATTATGCTTACTGTCAGAAGCAACAGGAGCAGAAGCAGCACAGCTCCAGCCCTACAGCCTCTTTGTGGCATCTTACAGGGCATCCAACTGGGAGAGACTAAATCACACCTATCATGTTAGCTATAAGGGAGTCTAGAAACCGTGGTGTTCAACTGTTATTCTTCTATCACATAGAACAAGCGGCAGGAAGAAAGTGCAGTGGATATCAAGCTAGTCTATGCTTAGCCTGTATGATACTTAACTTCTCCGAGTCTCAAATCTGCAAAATGACAGCATTATCTATCGTATAGGATATCGGGGAAGATTAAATTAGATTCTTGTGTTTAAAGATTTTGCCAGCTCTCTTGCTTTAGGGACATCATTGAAAGTCTTTTAGATACACATGATGTAAAAATACACAAGGAAAAAAAACCAACAGATTTTCCTTTTTTTTTTGTTTGTTTGAGAAAGTTAAAAGACAAAGATCATTGTGAAACTTCCAGCTTTTACTGGTTTTTATTATCTGGCTTCCTCAGAAATTTTAATTTGTCTGCATGTTTTATTTGTGAAGACATGCATAGCATCAGTGAGAGAAACTGTGGTTTTCATTTTATTTAAAT